AAGAACGAGATAAAGAGTTAGTTTGTTTTTCAACAAAAAAGTTTTTTTTCACGGATGCGCCCAATTTTTTTTAATGAGAAAAAAATTTTAAGCTTCGGGGGTTGTAATCGGAACTAGATTTTTTTCCCGTAAACTTATTTTGTTATTAAATTGAAACAATTTCCAGGTTTCTTCGCACAGGGACTAGAAGTATCGCTGTTGCCTTTGCACCCTAAGGTCTGGTTTTCAAGTTCCGGTTTCATTGAATAGAACGGATTTGAAGATCTCCCCTGCTTAAGCGGCTCCGTCCAAATATTTTTACACATGATATTATGGAGCCCGGAATAATCAAGTTTTAAATTTTTTGATCGTTTCTCAAATCTTTTGGTTTTTTTTCGAAAATTTAACTCCAAAATCTGAGATAATGGGTTAAATGGTGTTGACGGGTAATGGGAATCTCCCATGTATTAGCAGACGATATTTTTTTTGTAAAATGAAGTTGATAGAGAGTTATTTTCAAAGTTAACTGGCTAACTTATTTATTTGTCCGATTATAATTGTTTTGAAAAATTAGGACGAGAAAGAGTTGGTTTGAATTTAACTGGCTAACTTATTTACTTGATTAGTTGCCTAATAATAGTTTTTTTTGTAAAATGAAGACGATCAAGAGTTGCTTTCAAAACTTATGTGGCCAACTTATTTACTTGCCTGATGATAGTTATTTTGCTAAATGAATTTGACAGTGAGTTGTTTTCAAAATTTCTGTGGCTAACTTATTTACTTGCCAGATCATAGTTGTAAAATGAAGACAAAAATTATTTTCAAAAGTTATCTGGCTAAGTTATTTACTAGCCCGATGATAATTATTTTGCAAAATGAAGTCGACAGAGAGTTGTTCTCAAAATTTCTGTGGCTAACTTATTTACTTGCCAGATGATAGTTGTAAAATGAAGAGAAAACTATTTTCAAAAATTATCCGGCTAACTTATTTATTTGCCTGATAATAGTTGTTTCGTAAAATGAAGACGATCAGGAGTTTTTTCAAAATTATTTGGCCAATTTACTTACTTTTCTGATTATAGTTGTTTTGTAAAATGAAGATAGTTGTTTTGTAAAGACGACAAAGAGTTGTTTTCAAAATTTATGTACCCAACTTATTCACTTGCCTGATGATAGTTGTAAAATGAATACAAAAAGTTATTTACAAAATTTATCTAGCTAGCTTACTTACTTGCCTGAGTAAAGTTGTTTTGTAAAATGAAGACGACAAAAATCAGACAACAAAAATCCGGACTTGAAAAGATGAAGACTCAAACTGTACTACTTGGAAATAACCCAGAAGGGACTTTATAGAGCCAACAGGAGATTGTAGGTGGTTTTGAAGGAAGAGATTAGCCAGAATCTGATACTATTTTTAAAAAGTGAAGTCATAAATGTCCTCTTAATACCGGCCCAAATAGGAAGGAAAAGCGAGTTCAAAGACAGAGCATTGCTCTCAATCCCCAAGTGAATAAAATCCATTGCTTTTTACTCTTGAACAAATTTTTCAAGGCAATAAAAACTAAGTTTATCGAGAATACAAATATTAGCTCCTGTCTCCGTCGGGAAATGTTCCCTCCAACCCCCAAACTTTCAAAATTTCATGTCGGTTTTAAAATAAATAACATAGAAAACAACTCCATCTTTGTTGTTACTTCTTAGTTATTAAAACACTTTTCAGGTTCTATGCACCAATACTATACACAACCTTGAGATAAAAGTACAATAGCACGACATCAGCGGCTTGAAAAATGTCCAGAAATTTAAAAAGTACTCTCGGTTCAATGCGAATTTAACTGGACGGCAAAATATTTCGACTTTTGTGGTTTATCTTTGAAATGTCTTAGCACAGGCTCTACTCAGCACCCGTGGCCTTGTGGCTAAGACCCGCGGCCTATTATAAGAAGGCCGTGGGTTTGATTCCACTGCGGTGACAGTTGGGGAGAAAAGTATCATCCGTCTTTTTAACATTGGACTGGCTGAGGCGAAATTGATCTCTACATAAGCGTGACCCCAGATAAAAATGAGAAAATAGGGAGGGGTAAATTTTAAAAACCTCAATTATTCTCGACCCTTTATATTGCGAGTCAAACAACGGTCGATACATCACCCGCACTGACGAAATTGATTTTAAATTGATTTTGAAATGATCCCAATTGATTAACAATGTACAATGAAATTGAACTTTTTGAAAATTTTGGA